TGAGTGATAATCTAATTCTAAAAGAACGGTCACCTGCGTAAATTCGAAGCTCTTCAGTAAAATGAATTGCGCACTTTGGTTGCTTGGCGTTTGTTTACGTTTGTAAAAACAATACGCTAGATTTGGCTGACACGTTCTGTCGTGTGAAGATGGCTCAGTAATAGAAGCTTTGACTGACACCAAATCGGGCTTGAGGCATTCGGTTGTCTAGTCGTTGTGATACATCGAAACAGTACTGTCTGCAAATGACACACACACACACACACACACATATATATATGTATAAATATGTCTGATTGAAATTACAAACGTTATGCATACTTATTTTGATTATAATCTTTTCATATTTACGAATATTTTTCTGTATATTACAATTAAATGAGGCAAGAGATCCACAGTAACAGTGAGAATCACTTCTATTTCCTAAGTAATTTCGAACTCATCCTGAGATCATCATGGGTGCAATTGATAAGGCAAAACTATGTGTTCCTACCCATTCCTGAATTTTTCTTTTGTATTTAAATTAAGTTATGACAGTTATGCTTTAGCGTCCATTAGAACACACACACACACACACACACACACACACACACACACACATATATATATATATATATATATATATATATATATATATATATATATATATATATATATATATATATATATATATATATATATATATATATATTTTTTGTATTTAAGCAAATGCCACTTTTATGCAAGTTTTGTTAAAAAAGACGGATAATCCTATCATCAACAAAAAAAATGAAAAATCCAATACTTATATAATAGGTGATATTTTTTTAGCTGAGGACAAAAACAAAATTGATAATCTCAAAACTATATTCGAAATAAATTCCGTCCTCAAATTTACCTAGACAAAAAATAAACTCTTATTCTTAGATGTTCCTGTGGATTCTAGTAATAATACATTCAGTACTTTATTATACAAAAAACTCAATGTAAAAATCTTGCCGCCTTAATTTTACTAATCACTGTCCTCTAAGATATAAAATAGGTGTCATTAAACATTTCCTTATGCGAGCGCACGAGAATTCATCCTCTCTTGAGCTTTTCTTTAAAGAATTTACCAAAGTGAAACAAACGTTTGTTAATAACGGTTTTCCAGATCACCTCATAGATCACCATATTAGACTTTTTCTTTCTATAGTAACCAATAGTATCACTGAACATACAGAAAAATAACATTAACATTTTCTACAAAAATCAAATGCATAGTATCTATAAAACGAATACTCACATTATAAAGAAATACACAAATCCAGTCGACAAAAACAAAAAAATAAGTTATCTATTATAAAAAATTAAAACTGCTAACCTCATTACGAAAAATACTAATTAACCAGCAAGATACAAACTACATATTAATACATGCAAAACAAGAAGACTCACATTACAGCTCCCTGACCATAGCTCAATTATATCTCACTTAAATATACATGGAAACCTACCAAATTCTATCTGTACTCTACACTCATTGATAATACAAATATAATGTCCTCATCCACATGTAAAAAGGTTACAATTAATGGAAACATTATTAATAAAAAAGCAAAAGCCAAACTCATATCAACTATGAAGACGGCTACAATCTGCTGACCGTGTTTGGAAACTAACTCTAGAAAAAACAATTCATATATTCAGTTAAAAGTAAAATAAAATTCATCTTTGATAATGGCTAAAAATGTAGCCGAAAACGCCTGAGTATATAAAAGATTCGAACAATTTTTATATAATTTATGTCCCGAAAAGAAAAAATAAATAAATAAAGTACACATGATTCAGTTGTGTGTGTGTGTGTGTGTGTGTGTGTGTGTGCGCGCAATCATGCTCATCTCAATGAGGCCAAAGCTCATATTAATACGCTACAAACATTCTGTCAAAAGGTTTTATGGTCGGATGAAACCAAACTAGAGCTTTTTGGTAGGAAAAATAGGTGGTATATCTGACCATCTGATAATACGGCTTTTGAAGAGAAGAATTTGATGCCAACCACTAAACATGGCGGTTAGCGCATTATGATTTGGGGATAAACATGCAAAATAGTAAGCATCGATAGTACAATGAACTTGTCCTCAGTTCAGTAGACGTGTTTAGGTCAGGGATGGAACTTTTAACAGGACAAGATATGAAGCATCAAATCAACAAAAGAATTGGTTCGTAAAAAGTAATTTCAAGTCTTGGAATTGCCTAGTCAAAGTCCTGATCTAAACTGAATAGAAAATCTGAATCAAGTGAAAGGCACTGCATGCAAGGAACCCAGGTAATACCGAGCAATTGTGAGAGTTTTTCCAAGAAGAAATATTCAAAAATCGGCACTCACTACTGTCAGAAATTTCTTTAAAATTAGAGAAAATCCCTGTTGACATTGTAACCTGAATAGAAACAGTCACCAAATATTACATGTTAGGGTTCACTTACATTTGTACGTCTTAATTTTAAATTTTGAATTAATATTTTTATTCCAGCTTGCCAAAAAGTTCAAAAGTGGTTGTTATTGATTTAATAAAGTTTTTTTTTTCTTAATGAGTATATTGTTTAATTAATATAACCTGGAATAAGAGACAATTTTTAAAATATTCTCTTAGGGTCACTTACTTTGCACAAAACTATATATATATATATATATATATATATATATATATATATATATATATATATATATATATATATATATATGAGTTTTCATGCAAGCAAGGCAATAAGGCCACTAATATGCAAGAGTGTTAGACAATAATTTGAAAAAATATTCTATTAAGGAGAAAGGACAATGAAAGTACAATAACAAGGGAAACAGAAGATAACGATTTACATTGCATTTAAGTTTTTGAAGATCAAAATTGACTGCGAAGCTAGGAGCAGGAGAAGTGCGATAGTAGAAAATGTTAGCATAGAACTTACGGTTTTATCTAGCTATTTCAACTGTAACATAATGAGACCTTTCCACCAATTTAGTAATGCGCTTAAATTCATAGAGTCTCGGTATGATAGTGTCAAATTCATGAGAAAAGTTACATGAACGTATAGAAAAGGCACAAGGAAGCAGTCGTGGGAAAAGCTGAGATGTTATGTCAGGACCAATAACTTTATCATTTCTATTTTAGATTTTATCATGAATATCTAAATATATACCCGGAGTATCAGACTAGATGTTTTAGTAATATTCAATGCAAGGATCAATGATAGACACATAAATATGTAAGATAGAGTCTGGTGAGAAATATTGTCTAACTCGACACAGTGAACCATGTTTCCTAGCTTCAGACTAATCACTTGATTCAATCTAATCTTTCCACTTCATGCGGTAAATGTTAGTTCGTGAAGGCGCAATGACTCATTCTCCTGAAGATTAGCATCAACCATGTTGATAGAAGTTAAAACAGGTTCTCGCAGTATTTAAAAATAGTGCAGTTTCGGCTTGGAGGCTTTAAAATTAATAAGCCATTTCTTATCGTATTTATCAAATGATTGTAGACCACTTTTTAGATCAGCCACCAATTCGACCTCAGCGAACCGATCAGACTTATTTTTAAGACAGTGGTAAAGAGTTAAATTATCAGCATTGATACCGAGTGCTGAGAACTGATGACATCAGGAAGGTTGTTGATAAAAATGAGGAACAACGTAGGTCCAAAGATAGTGCTCCGGGAAACACCTGCATTTATGGAAAAAAATATGCAGAAATGTGGCCATTCAAGACAACTTTCATTTCACGATAAGATAAGAAAAAAAAACTGAATTAGTATAACAATTCGCCCAGAAATATAAGCTTTCAATTTATAAAGTAATCCAGTATGACAAAACCTGCCAAATGAGTTCAAGATATCAAATGCCAGAGTCTGAGCATCACCATCATTATTTAAAGCTTCATAGACTCTTTCAAAAATAATCGTCAGCACATCAGTCGTTGACCTAGAGAAGCGAAAGTCATATTGCTTATCTCAAAGATGCCCCTGCGAGGTGAGATACTTACACAATTCAGAATTAATTAGAACCGATAGCACTATGCCAAAAAAAGAAAAAAAAAACGGGTAGAAGAATAAGAAGCCAATACTTAGAAGTATCAGACAGTTCGCCAGTTCTTAGAGACTGGAACTACAGAAGATGATTTCCAACAAGCAGAAAAGAAAGAAACTGCAAGGCATTTAATGTGGCGTTTAGATAAAACAGGAGTCAGCTCAGTAGTATATTTCTTAAGGACTATCACAGGGAAAACATCAAGTCCACATGATTTGAGATGATAGCAGAAATATATATTCGTTTCTATTTGTTTCTATTGTAACATTATAACACAATCTTAATCATGGTTTGTAATCTTATTTGTTGTTCTCTTATGTTTCCAATTTATATTGGAAAAAATTCTGTCGAATTCTCATCTGAATTTATGCACCTTTATGTGTGTGTAAGTATTATATTAGACTGGTGAAAAAGTACATCGTTTTACAAAGTATCAAGAAAATATTAGGAATCTATAAGCTAAAAGAAATAGACATATGCTTGCGTCAATAAATATTCAGATATAAATTTAACCTCTTGTCTTTCTTTTGTTAAACACAGGATAATCACGCAAGGACAAGATCATTGAAAAGGGCTCAATCGAAGATCTCAAACTAAAAGGATATTACTTGTGAAAAGATTATTTTGTGGTTTGAAAAGAAAATAATTTACAAATTGATGAAACCTGGACAACAATTAATGATATCAGGACCAAGGATCATTTCACAACGATACAGTAAATTAAATCAGCCATTTTGAATAACGCATTACAAGAGAAAATATATTTCAAAAGGTAAAGATGTCGATTGTTGATATTGGTACATGACATCGACTAATGAGTTACTTATGCCATATTATGTGTCATTGTTGCTTAAAATCCGAATAATTTTTACATTTTCCGTATAAAAATAAATTTGGTAAAAAAAAGTGGGCATTATACAATGTGAAATACTGTTTATGTTCTTCTTACTGTATTTCTCATGGAAATAGAGGCCTTAGAATTTTTATTATCTCTCTCTTTCTCTCTCTCTTTCACTCTCTCTCTCTATCTATCTACATATGTGTGTGTGTGTGCGTGCGCGCGCGCGCTCGCGCTCAGGGTGCGATGAATAAATTGTCGTCTGAATTACACAAAAATTAAAATAGCACTGACTTCTCATTTTAACAGATGTATTTACCAAAATTAAACAAAAATATCTTGAAAAACTAAAGAGTAAATTTATTCAATAGAATCGATATTGGCTTCAACCACGCCCTTCAGACGACTTCAGAATCTCTTGTAATTCTTCTGAGCGGTCTCCTTGTTTAAGTTGGTGAATGCTCTCATAATCCTTGCCTTCACTTCATATTATGTCTTACAAGGAGTTTTGTTGGTCTCTCGCTGTGACCGACACATATTAATCAAGGAGGTTGCAGACTTGGGAGTTAGGTGGTCAGATGATTGTCTGACAGCCTTGACTAGGTTCTCCTGGTTGCGTGGTATGGTACAGAGTCTTGTTGTTAGGCACAGTTTTTATTTTTCCAGCAGCCACCATATTGACCGAGTGCAGCGCTACATCCTCAAGGCACTTTCTATAGGCCTCCGTATTGTTTGATGCTCTCACCAACATATGCGAAAGTTCTTTTCTTATCAGAATGATGAGTTTTCCCTTTGTAATCACCATTAAGCTCATCCAACTCGTTTCGAATCCTCTGTACCGTCCTCAGATTGACACCTCAAACACTCTGAAATATTCGTATTGGAGCTTCCGGTGTGAATGCAAAGCAGTAGAGCATGCCGTTTCCCAATTTCTGACGGAGAGAAATTGCGTCATGGGGGAAAGTTTTCTCACAAAATTACTATACTGTGCAGTCGACAAAATCCCAGACAAAAAAAAGTGCATGTACAAAATGAAAAAAGAAAAATGGCGTCAATTTACCCACCGTAACCTGTGTATATATATATATATATATATATATATATATATATATAGTGAACTCCGCCATTGATTTGAATGTCTGAGGGACAACCAACTCAGTTCCTAGAAACTGACAACCAGACTACTCACACGAATCATTTGATTCTAGTTGTGAAGGCTTGTGAATAATGGACCACACACACACACACACACACATATATATATATATATATAAGGTTGGTCAAATAGAATCAAGCTGTGCCAAATGGTCATTATTTTCTCTGTGTGTGTATTAATAAGAGAGGAAAGATTTTAACGATGGGTGGATGAAACAGTGCAAGATCGATTGGGTAATCGATTTATAATCTTAGGCATTTCACATCATATCGTTCTGTTTTGTTTAGTGGGCCCAAGTGTTTCAAAGTAGCTACTATCCACATTTAATGAGAGACTATAAAGGCACAAGAAGTTCTGCCTTTCGTTTTACAATGCAATTTACACTTTTCAGATTTTATTATACAAGTTAATTGTTTTCCAATAAAATGTCTATTGCTAAAATGATGAAGGTAATAAACGAAAAGTAGGTGCATCGGTGATCATGTTGGTGTCATTGTGTATGTAGTCAGTCAAATAAAAATATCAAGAAAATTGTTGGAAGAAAAGAAAACAAAAAACCTATCTAATTAAATAGATTAAGAAATATTAAGTTGCCCAATTAAGTACATGAAAACTGATATTTCAACAATAACAACTAAATACAACTAATATTTACAAGCAACAGAAATATATTTTAACAAACTATTTCATACCCATAAATAAATAATTATTTTATCATTTTACACGTTAATATGATCTTAGTGACATTTCTATCGTCATCAATTTTTAACAAATGCTTTTGTAAACCAGATGCCTTCATGAATAATATTGTTTTTATTGAAACCAAAATAGTGTCATTTGGCCTAAATTCTAGTCATCAAATATGGACGACGAAGACGGAAAAATTCAAGCCAGAAAGCTCCATTCAAACTGTGAAGCATGAGGTGAGAAATGGGATGTTATGGGGTGAGTATTTTCCATGACATCGTCTCGACGTCTTTGCATAAAGGAAAGAGAAATAAATCAAGGCATGTAAGGAAATATATTGAGTAAGATCTTCCTTTCGTCAGTGAAGGATTTACATATTGAAGCACATTTGTATTTCAACAAGTCAACGACACTAAACGTACTGCCAAACAATGATTTGCAAATAAGAAAAATCAACCTTTTGAAATTGCTAGTCAGTCCTCTGAACTGAATCAGAGTGAAAATTTGAGTCCATTCTGATCAGCCTAATAATGTGAATAAACTGAAAAATATTGCTATAAAAAATCGTCCAAAACCCGAGCAGAGGATTGTGCAGGTATACCAATTAAAGAAGGTAAAACATTATTTGTAATTTTAATTATTTGTAATATAAAAAAAACGAGTAAAAATTTTATAAATGCTTGTATATTTTCAGCCAGCCAGTTTTAGGCAAGAACATACTTAAAACAAAATTTATTACAAACTATTATGGGTATGAATTTTCTTCGGTATAAATTTTCATAAGAGGCTCTTTTATGACAAACCAAATACCCATGTTCAGGATTTGTTTTTTTTTTTCCATTAAACCATTTTTTATTCGTTTCAATAACATCCATTTGTCCACGCATGTTTCTGCAGGTCCGCCGAATATAAACACATTTGTTGACTTTAGTATAAAATAAATTCAGGTACGAACACAGATCTAGATTTTGTGTCTGAAGCAGTTATTATTTACATTATTTACACTTTGAGTATGTTTGTATGGCAGCTCTTCAGCAGCTGTAATCCCCGGGCCTTTGGGATCTCAATTTTTAGATATCCTAGTTATGAGTAGCTAAACGAGAACAACCTATCACCAAAGATTAAATAAATGTACAGTTCAAAGTTCTCTCAAGGTTAACCGGCATCTAACAAAAACACAGATTTGTGCAATAATCATCGTGTAAATCATATATTCCAAATTCTACGCTTGCGTTTAGTGGCTCATGTGTCATACATGTTTGGAAAATCTACCGAAAGACAGTGCCTAAGAGGTACACAAAGCAGCCAGATACAAAAGAATTCCCAATGCTTAGGAAAAAATCTTACAGGAGTTATTCAGCCCAATTAAAACGAGTGACAAAAGCGCAATTTAAAAATATCTGAAAATCTTTGTTGATATCATCGCAGAGAAATATCTTCGGCAACTTCTGGCTAGGAAAAGATTCTATTGGGAGTCAAATTTTGGTGTCCCCCACTGAACAGTTGGAAAAATTCAACTGCATATCTAACCGTAACCACGACAGCAGACATGGTAGATGTTATTATTCCCTTCACAGAGCTAACAAACCAAAATACAATAGTTCGAAGCAACGATACCAGAATTCAGTGAACATCTTCAGTTGCTCTACAGATGAAATAGGATTAATTTCCGTTTCGAAAATCTTACATATCAGAGGAAATAAATGCAGAAGGAACGCATATCAAATAATGCAAATATCTGCTGGTGGTATCAGCATTTCGCGAACGAATCACGAAGATAAAGGAAGAACTGAAACTACATTAAAAAAAGAAAAAAAGAAAAAGAAAATGTAAACCGGTTCCATGAAGCAGTAAAAGTAATAACACTGAACATAACTAAACCCGTAATTCTCATATTCTCCATCTTAGACAAAACTTCAGGACATAGATTTATCGTCGATGCAGGAACATAGATAAATGTAAAATCATCTACCAAAACCAAATAATGAAAACTACGAAATTCAAGTTGCAAGTATTTAACAACATTACCGTTAAGATATATAGTGGGGATCTATCTCATTGGCTTTCATTGTTATTCACCATAGCCCAAGTAAAAATGCTTGGAACAGATTTTCTCTTTCATTTATCATTGTCACTAGAATGCCCATAACAGGTATCAACACGTATATCACTCGACCTTTAGAAGATACCATGAGCAAACATTCTATCACTGCAGATGAAACTCAATTTTATTCATATCTTGATGAATGTAGCCTGACAAACAAAAAAACTAAGGAAGAATTCCATAACAGGATAGGGTATAATCAGAAAATCAATGACTGTTGTCTCCAATATATGACATTTCCAAACCACAACCATGGACAGTATGTCCTGATTTCAAACATCTTAATGCAACAACTTCTTCGGATAGCTATCCATTACGTTAAGTAAGCGATTTTACAGCAGGATTGTAATACACTGCAATCTACTCAAAATATACCCAGAGAAAGCTTACCATCAAATATTAACAGTTGGCGATATGATGAAATTCAAACATCTTAATGCAACAACGTTTTCGGATCGCTATCCATTACGTTAAGTAAGCGATTTTACAGCAGGATTGCAATAATTTCCATAAAACACGTCTTTTTAATAGTTACGACAATTTAAATAAATAATTATTATTATTATCACAATCATTTACAATGAATTTATTAACAATTCCAGTATGACAGACTCATCCCCTGGTAAACACTTATCTTAACGAAGAGCAAAGAGCAGAATTTATTGACGCTAAAACAGTCGCAGTTAAATATACTAAAATTAGAAAATATTCACATTACCGACGGATGCGCTCTCAATAGCAAAAGTTTCATCATAAAAGAATAATAAATTCCAGCCCATTTCAGGTTTTTACCGTTGAGCAAAAGACATCAAAATTTCTGCAAATTCTTGAAGGAAATTTTAGACATATATCTGACAATAAAAAAATCTCTGTCACATATAGGAAGGAAGAAAATTTATAGTCTATATGAACCACGTGCCTTTAACACGTGAATTACAGGTGGCCTCTTATTAATATTCTTCAGAGAACTATTTATGTCAATTGAATTACATATCACAGGACGCTTCTCTTATTAAATACATACCAACATTGTTGCCGATATTCTCTGGAGCAGACATGTCGACAGTAGAAAATAAGTGACTTATTTATCTTGCAAATGAAGTAGTATAACACACACTAAAAGGGAGTCACTGAAATTAAAATAATTATTAAATGGAAGAAGATTCTATTTTGAGACTTCAGTGCAACACCTAAGACTTTACATTTCCTTTACCCTATGAAAGAACGTATTTCAAATTTTCTGTAAATTATTCCATCTCTGTAAACGAGAAATAGTGAAGAATTGATAAATTCGTTTGGCATAATATATCTGCAGACACATGGGATTAGTTCATAGAGAACCTACGGCGCCAAAAGCAGAAAGTCTACAGAGACATTAGACCACCTATAGGCACTTTTATCAACCCAAGCAACTGTTTCATCAAAATATATATCGATCTGTTTGCACCAATCCTACATTTTAAAGGCTACTTACACATCATCTATCGGTGTCCGATTCTCTCTGTGACCTCTGGTTCTTCTTGAGCGAGAAAAAGCTGAGGAACACAACCGCTAAAGAAAAGTTGGAACAACTGATATCATATTATGATGTAAATTATATTACAACGGACGGCGATACTCAATTTCAGCAATATTTTTCTCAGGAATTCACTACAGTACTTGGCGTAAAATACATAAAAATTCCAGCATATCACCATTGTTAAAAATAGATTTTTTTTTGGTGGGGGCGATTTGCCAGACAATGAAAATTAACTCTGGTAATGTATGATAAGTAAACCATTTGGTTTGATCATCTACCATTGATTATTATTGTTACAATATGTAATCATGGATTACTTTAATTGAGCACCTGTAGGATCGGTCTATGTTTACCCACTAACTCTGTTAGGACGTTATTTAGAATAAAACAACACAACCAACCACGATATTTATCGAGAATGTTAAAAGAAAAAATATCGGCTCTCGTATTCGCACTAATTAGAAGCTACGACACTTTTATTCTCGGGATGGCCCTGTGAAATCAAATAATATTACGACGTCACATTTAAAGTCCAATGCTATGCTGTTCAATGATTACATTGTTGGAAATATTTTTGGAACTCATAGTCCGAAATAACTTGCACAAACGTGGTCAGATGCATTGGTTATTTTGAATATCAGTACATTTTTCATTACAGTGCATGTTCAATTTTTAGAGTAATCCAGTAGCAAATGCCTTACTTCTAGTGAATGAGATCGATTGTTCCTTTTCATAATGGATTTCCTAACCTTGAAAATTGCAAACTCCCAACGGTGCGTGGATAATTGTTATGGTGTGAAATCTTTTCAGTTCAGTGTTCATGGCTTTTCTTCGGAACCTGTTCTCGTAACATTCTCAGCGTTTTGGAGTGAACATGTTGATCGATTGTTTATACTTATGCCAAGGATTCGTAGTAAGCTCTCTTGTTGGCGAAGAAATATGAAATCAGAGTCTTAACTGCGAACAAGACATGCACGCATTTTTCAATTGAGGTAAATTCTTTGATTCCTAATGCATTTTGTTTCCAAGTTGCAATGGAAACATCAAGTTTTATTACAGGTAATGGCAATATCAAACATACCTACAATACTCAAAAGAACAGGTAACGTGAAATTGACATTGTTTCATTCATCAGTCAGATTTTTTTCATTCCCAAATCCTTTGTTAGAATCTGAGGCATTGTTCTCTTATTCCTATTCAGTTCTGCTAGAATTCGCACATCTTAATTTTCGATTTGACTTCACTAATGTTCGCACTACATCTGTTTTTTGTTCTTTAAACTGCCCACATCTTAAGTCATCATGTAGATATATTTTCCTTGTTTTAACTGCCAGTGCCACCAGAAACCGTGCACCAGAAACCATTTTAATAGGGCTACATTTTCACTAGTACTTGCAGCAGTCTAAAAACAAAACAGTCATAAAAAACGTTAATCAGACTCTTCAGATTCCTTTCATTCATTTTCTATCAACAGGGTAATATGAACACATATAACTTCCTCTACTGCTCGGCAGTGTATAACTCATCTGATTTGCATCTCCGGAGAGTGGGTGATGAAGCCTGTGCAGATGTGTGCAGGCAAAAATATTTGCTAGTCTCATTACTTTTGTGAAACACTAGGAACATTTAAATTAATTAAATTGTCAAACGCTAAGTACTTGTACTCATGTTAATATGCGTTTCTACGTAATGATCATGGATGTAACCCATTCACACCCGGTTACACAATTTTGGACAAACGAATTTAGGTGAAGGAGAAATATTTTAGCAGTGAACGTGATAGCAAAAAACAAAACATGTTCAGAGAGTCATTTGATCCTAATATAAGAGGCAATGAAAAGTACACTTGTGACAAGCCCGTGTCGACTGCCAAAATAATGTCAATTATGAGTAAATTTCATAGACATCGAAAAGTTAACAACACATTTTCCAAATCATTTATCAAATAATTTTATCAACATGAACTTTTACATTTTTTTTAATTCTTCATCTCACATACAAATCCAAATTTATAACAAGTTATTTCCATACAACCGACTATTCAGTATCCTGTATTAATTTGAAATACACTAAATATTATTTTATACGTTAAATATGTCTACATATTTTCACATGTTCCAATTGACAATACCTATTTACGTTAACTCCAGCCAGGTACCTGGAGTAACTCGAGTAGAAACCGCTGTTTCTCCCAGTAGCAAAGAAATAGCATTCTTACCGCGTCTCATACAAACAGTGTTTGTGGAAATATTTATAATGGAGTAAGGTATCTAAAATCCCAGCTTTCTACGACAATATAAAAAAAAGATGCAAAGATCGATATGAACCGAAATCGATTAAGTTAAAAAAGAGAACAAAAAAAATAAAGAAAAGGAATAAGCAGGAATCCAAAAATATGAAGATTTATAAGTTTGCTTCTGTGAATATCTTCCACTCCAGAATTTTCAATTGCAGAACTCAGCATTAATCAGTAAATCTTTATGCGTCATTCTTTCCCTGTTTTCTTTTCGATATTCCCAGAACATTTAACCGAAACGAGTGCCTTGAACGTGCCGCCGGTATTGCTTTTCATGTTTGCCATTCTCTTGTACAGCACGAATCCGAATATTCTTCCATGCAAAATATTTGTGTAAGGAAAACCTTCTAATGAATATGGATACTGCAACGAAGATGGATCTATCCTTTAATTCTGTTCTAGTCAAATATAGAAGAAATAAAAATCGAAATATACCTTGCAAAATATTTTATCCGGTTTATTCTCCCCACACTATCTATCTATCAGCTCCGTGTTACTCTATCTTACTCTATTCGTATTTCGCAATCTGTCTTCTCTTATAAGCATTTTTATAATTCCTGTGTATATTTCCATTTTGTCTATCTCAATATATGTACATATAAGTAAGACATTAATTAAATATGCCTCATTTATTTTCCTTTAATAATTATTCTGTTAATATATTTTCCTGTGTAAAACGTTAATTTATAAAACACAATTTTTTTTAATGAGAGTTACGTGAAGATATTGATAGAAAATTAGAAATTATTTTTTTAATAACTGTGTACTCGTAAACACGAAAGTATCAACATTGAAACGAGTGATTAGTTACGTTTGAATATTAAAATCGTATATTTCGATCGTGTAGATTGTATCTGGATCATTTTTGCTCGTAGAATATTCTCGTTAATACAAAAATTAATTCAAAAGACACAAACATACACAGAAACGGAAACTCGCACGCACATACGTATAATGATTATAGGTAACGCCACAAGATCGCAAAAAAGAGCATAGCATGATGAAAAAGACGCCAAACTTGACGAAAACAAAACTTTATCGTCTAAATGGTTATATTATTATATCGCGTAATAAAATGATAAGTTCTCGGCGTGATCCTGGAAGGAATTAAAAAAAATCTGATGTTTGGCCATGTAGCAATAATTATTTTTAAATGCGTGTATATATATATATATATATATATATATATATATATATATATATATATATATATATATATATATATATATATATTGTTGCATTTTGTGTCGTCTCTAGGTCACATGTAATTGTATCAACGAAAAGGACGTTTCATTTTTTCTCTATTCCTTTTATTTGGAAAGAATGGTTGCAGCTTGGATTCTAAGACGCAGTAGTAGAACTGACGTGACAGGATCGCCCGTCGCACGTTGTCTTGGCTTCCCTCCGCAGGTGGTATTAGCCGATTACAAGACTGAGTATGGTGGGTGGCGTATCGATGTTTCAGAATTTTTTCGGTCTTCTCTTGAATTCGGACCGTTTTCGATTTATATTCAAAACCCAGAAGAAGGTCACCCGTCACTGTCAGATTGCACCCACACGAGGTACTCCGGCCAATTGCAGACCATTTTGGCCCTTCCTGTCTGTAACATTACCTTCACGTTTGCTTTTTCAAAATATAAATTAATATAAATTTTAAATCATTGTCAAGTGTGACTTCTAAATTATTCGTCATCCCTCTCACTATGCCTCCAGAAGCAAATATTATACAAAATAGCAAAACATACATTCAGATATATGTTATAACAAGAATTAAACTTTTTATAGAGATGCACAACAACGAAAACATGACACTTATCATTCCACCAAAACTCGCATAAAGGCATAATGTGTAAACTCCACCTCCGGATTCAGCGGTTGTTTGTATCCTCATTATCCAAGTATATCGATTTCTTCAGTTGGGTCATTTCATGCAAGTTATACTCGTGGTGTGTCATTCTTTATGACACCCGTTGCATGAACACAAAATTCAATTGTTCAAAGCTGCACATGTGGGTGTTACATTTTGCTTTACTTTTCTTTGTTTTGTTTGACCTGTCTGCACAAAGGTGCATAAATATTTGGAAATGTCTTTCCGTTTGCTCTTTGTTCAAATGCACGGAATTGTTCATTCACTTTTTTTAACAAGAATTTTTTTGTATATGTCTTCATGCGTACGTGTGTGTGCTTCACTGAGCGTGCACGCGCGTGTGTGTTATCTGGTTGGCAGTGACCGCTGTCCACTGTGTCCACACCAAACAACTTTTAGGTGTACTGCTTTTATCTCTTAAAATTAATTGGTTCAAGGATGCTTAAATGGCAGAATTTGGTTTCGTTTAAAACATTTCTGTGAGCGCGATAACTAAGTCCCTTATATATTTTTTCTTTTTCCTACTCTTTTCGTCTCTACTACCCGTGACCTTCCTTCCAACACTAGTTGCCCAGCTCACATCCTTTCGACTAATTTTTGTATATCTTCACCATTTTCTTGCTCCTTTATTTACCCTAAATACAGCGGGGGTGTAAGGTCGACTGGATCAGAGTAGCTGCCACTATCATACCCCCGTATCTGTGTGGATCGTCTACTCTTTTCCCTCGTTCCAAGTCTATACCTACTATTGCGACTGTTACTACTATGGTCCTCATAAGAACCCTCGTCTCTTGGATTGTCAACCTGATACCTATCAAAATGCCGTTCCATTTTAGATGCACTTACCTCAATATTCTCTTTACTATTTGAACCCGAGAATCTATTTCTATTCCTATTATAATCTGGGCCGTATTATTTTCTTCTATTCTTCTTTGTCACATCACGATATGACGTTCCATCATCGGAATATGTGACTCATTTTCCGAATGTTCGCATTGACGTCTTCATTTCTTTCAAGATTCTTGCTTCCTCTGTTACCTGAGTCTATCTCAGATTCGTCAGCTGTTAGTGTGGCCCTTCCTAGCGGCCTGTTATCAATTGGACTTATCATACTTCAATATTTGCAGCCTTAAAGTGTTCAGCATGGGCCTTAAATACTGAGCTTGTTAACTGATCCTTGATTTCATAAGATACTGGAACGGTCTTCTCGACTATTACATAATACGACCTCCACCTCGTGTCTAATATGCCCCGTTTATGATGCGTTGTATAGTAGACAAAGTCTCCTACTTTAAAGTCTATGTCGTTAGTTGAACTGTTAGACTTTTCTATCCTAACTAGTGTAAATGCGCGGTGTTGTTCCTGTAGCGCAATGTTATGGTGTTCGTCCCCATAATAAAAGCGACGTAGTTTTAAGATACTATCTAGCGACAAAACGATGTCACTATTATAAAGTAAGTATTATGGTGAAAATTTTGTTGACTCTCTAACGTTAAAACTAAATGCCGCGAGCATCTGGTTAATATATGAACCCTATGATCTATCATTATCACTTTTTTAAATAAAATATCGTGCATTGTCCTATGCAAGCTTTTACCCTACCATTGCTTTATGGATAGCAGAATGATGTCGTCGCGTGGTGTATATTTAAACCTTCTAATGTCTCTTTCATAACTTTTTTTAATATTCTCTGTACCGTTATCTTTTACTGCTTGAAGAGGAATGCCAAATCTAAGGAATATTTCATCTACTCATAAGTGGGCGATCGTCTGAGACTTCTTTTTGTTCAAGTCAGCCTACGCTAGCGTCACCGATTTAGACATCCTATCTTTCAAGCGATCGAACAATTCCTGACATTCATCACCCCCACCTAAAACCCGCATGTTTCCTGGTTAATCTAATTAACGGTTCTGCTAAGCTAGAGAATCCTGGAATAAATCTTTGATTGTAGAAGCACGTACCGACTAACCTCCAATCATGATGAGAGTAGTGGGAGTGGTTAAGGAGTGTATAGATTTTAATTTATTAGTATCTGGTTGAATTACGATTGCACTGATTTTAAATCCTAAGTACAGTGGTTTAAGAAAAGTTTTTAACAAGGAGAAATAAACTACATCTAATTTCAAAATTTACTTACATAATCCCAACTCAACATAAATAAGCAGTATTTGGAACTAGTATGGAGTAGATCCTTCAGTTGCTAGTTTCAGTGCTTGTATTCGATTTTTCCTGGATTTGATCAAGTTATCAACAGTCATCTGATCCATATTTCGCCACTCCTTTAGCAATATGTATTTAAGGGTTGCTACTGATGTAATCTTGGTTGTACGCCCTCGAGGTTTTCGGTCAAGGTGCCCCAATTGATTCAGGTCAGGAATTTGGGCTACCCATGGCAGTGATTTGATTCCTTGCGACTCCTTTCAAACCTTTGCTACTTTGCTCGTATCACATGGCCCTCCATCTTCTTGAGAATAGTAGGCATTCTTGTCAATCTGATTTGGGTCAAATAGTGCGAGTAATCCTTTCTCTAATATTTGACAGTATTTTAGACCATTCAACCGCTCGTCAACAAGAATCAGCTCAGATTTCCCTCCAAACCAGACAGTGCCCCACACAATTATTCCAATCCCTCCATGTTTCATGGTTGTCTGCAGACATTCAGTGTTCCAAGTCTCATTATGTTTTCTCCAAACATAAACCTGTCTCGAATTCGAATATTGGCAGTATTTACTTTCATCTGATCAAATTACAGACTGCCAAAATTCATAATCTTTGCTGTCGAATTCTCTCGCCCAGTCCATACGCCTCTTCCTGTTAACCTCTGAAATCAAGGGCTTCAATCTTGCAACTTTTCTTTGAAAGTATCTACTGAAAGTATTCTTTCAGTAGCTTTCTGACTGCATATGTTAATAAGCTTTTAATAATTTATTTAGTAATTTTCATTAGAGCTCTAAAATCTACGCTTACTATTATCCTTCTTCCAAAGACTTCTAGATCTCTTTATAATCTTTGCTTCTAACATTAGCTCTAAAGACTCATCTACTAGTTTTTTTTTGTCTGAGGGGTGTGTGATATTTTTTTTTACGTCCGTTGGTAGTGATACGCATTTTCACCGTATCTGTTGTTCCTAAATCTTTGTGATTCGTAACAAATATATCCCTATTTTTCTTTAGTATCGGTATTATAACTTCTTGCACTTCCACCTGTTCTCATTCTCCCTGATCGATGTAATGTTGTTTCGCTTCTATTGAGGAAATGACATGTACGCTGTCTCCCTGGTTAAGCCTAGCTATCAGGCACCCTGGTCTCAAAGTAACTGTCTAGTTTGTATTATTGATAATGAGTAGCGGTATTCTAACAATCTCACTTACAGTTACTAGAGGACTCGCTACCGAAACACCACACAGGTTACTAAAGAAGAACGATTTTAACTGTTCACCCTCATAAGAGCTCGTTAACTTATCATTCCGTCGTCCGACTTTTGTCATACACGTGTGCATGAACTGGAGCTGTAACGTTACTGAACGTATATCTTAACTTAATCGTGCCGATCTATCTACAGAGGCGAATCATTCGCCGTTTCTAGGCATACCTCTTTCGGGTTTTCGCTGTAAACTCTCCTATGTGAGACTCTGATACTTCTACGCTTATGTCTACCAGAGGGGGGAGGGCTATAAGAATGTCTACCTAGCCTAATCATAATTGAGTTGGGTGGGCATCTATTATCGATTACATATGTCTGTCATTTTTTTTATCCGTACGTGGTCCCTTACAAACCGGAAGTTAATAGTTTCCAAAAGCAATCGCTTTCAACTCTGTCTATTCCTAGCAGATGGTATTTATCAATTCACCCACAGGAATTGAATGTGGCACAAGGCCTTTTTAATGTGGGTATGTCTGAGCCCGTAGGCCCATCCAAAAATAAAACCCATCTAAACCCGTCCAAGCGGGCTAGTTCCGTCAACCTCCCCGAACGAAACCCCACCCTTCGGCGGAGCTTCGTCCGGGTTCCTCTCTGCAAGCAGAGAGTTCGACAGACACCCGGCTCGGCAGCTCACAAAGCGCAGATACTACACTTTGATCCTAGCCACCGGGCCGAGCGGGTATTCTTTTTTTAGATACGTCTATTAGGTCTATGCCTAGCAGATAATTACACTTCTGCTTCTATTAATTATCTCCGCAGGTCGTCGAAGTCTTTCTACCTGGAAGTATCTATTTATATCGTATATATCGGGTGGAACATATTTTCTTTCTCTGGTAATCCTTCCTGTTCTGGGATTAGATTCTACATTGGGCCTTCTTCTAGCGCGAGAAAACACCATAGGTTCGTGCACGCGTTTCCTATCTAAGTCCAATACAACTCAGCTTTGCGCGAGTGCTTTTTCATATATAGTCTGTAGCATTTCCGGTTGTTCTCTGTAGAACACCATCCTAATATCTACATTATCTAAACACTCCATGAAAAAATTTTTAATCTGCGATGCTACTATCGGATCGCCACAGTCTGCTCCCATGTAAGCCCTTTCTGCTAATCGTAATAAACGATCCATGTAAAATTGGATTTCTTCATTTCTACACTATCTAATATTAGATAGCTGCTTAAAACATATATGAAGGTCTACTGCCTCTTCACACTCTACCCTGCAAGCGCCGAATTTAGTACTTCGGTCAGAATAACTCGCCCACTGGACACTCCGGCCAATTCCAAACACGTTCAATACATTATGATCGTGTTCCTAGTTGATATTATTGAGTGTTGGATTTTTTTTTATTAATAATGCTTCCATTATTTTTAACCTATTTGTACAAGTGGATGATGCTATTATATTTGTATTATCAACAGATATTTTACGGATAGAATTTGGGAGGTCTCTTTGTGTATTTAAATGATACCTAATTGAGTTATGGGCAAAGAGATGTAACATGAGCGTTCTTGTTAAACATCCAATATAATCATTTACAAATCTGGATTGGTCAGGAACAGAGCTCCTTAAGGGACATGTAAATTCATAAATAATATTGGTTCTCTGTAATGTAAATATTGCAGGTGAATTATTATTTTTGACGATGAGGTTAGCAGTATCACATATTTTGTAAATTTAATTTTCTTGGTTTTATCAACTGGAGTTGCGTATTTCTTTATGATGTTTCTGGGTAAAGATTCGTCTTGCTTATAGTTACTTTGCATTTGATTTTAGTAGAAAATACTACTATATATTTATCACCACCCGAAAAGAGAAAAAGAAGTCAAGAGTGAATGTTCACTAAAGGACATGTGTCTGAAACCTTGTTAACCTGAAGTGGCATTTTTGTAGTTAAGAAGTGATAAAAATCGAGACTGTTAGAAAATGGGAGCCAATATACATATATTAAAATTCTAATATCTATTTTGTAAAAATACTAATTATTAGCTATTGAGAGGTCGAATATTCTTTAAATATGTAAGAATAAAACTTAAATATTAAAAATATGACTTACACATATTTAAATGACATTTCTAGAAAATCCTTGAGTGTACAAATATGAATTAAGCTGATGAATAAAAATGACAGTTTTTGGGGCTATTATAAACCCAGACCACTTCCTGAATAACTGAAGTATACATTTGTTATCAGACACCCCCACCACACTTAAACTTAATCTGACTTTGTAAGTAACATATATTGGATACATAAGCTGTCTAGGGAAATTAAAACCCAACAAGCCCTAAATTAAAATAGACTGAATTTTCCGTAACCTTAACAACTCATAATATCAATATAGTCTGCACTTATAAATTAAGTAAATTTCTTAGAAAGTTATTCCTTGCATCGCTTGACAGTGAAACGAAACTATGGATTTTAAGTTTAATTTTTATAATTTTTAAATTTAGTTTCAGTTTTGAAACATGGAAATTTTCTGTGTCACGATGGAATCATAATTTAAAAAAAAAATAATTATAATATTTTGCCCTACTATTTATATCGAGCACTGATTTTTTAATAAAAATAAATACTCAGAACACCGTATTATAACTCACTGTTCTTTCTTAATATTTTAATTTATACATACATACATACATACATACATATATATATATATATATATATATATATATATATGTGTGTGTGTGTGTGTGTATGTGCGTGTGTGTGTGTGGGTGTGTGTGTGTGTGTCTGTGTGTGTGTGTAATTATCCAAGGATAGGGATTATGCAATTATAAACTGGACGGAGACAAAGTGTAACACTGAATAACGAAAGACTGTTTCATGTTAAAATGCAATCTTCAGGCCATGTGTTTTGGAGATTAGCTGGACTATTTATGTACGTTTGCCGAGCTACTACACCCAAAATATGACCTGAAGATTGCGTTGAAGATTGGAATAGACTGTGGCATTCGATATTGAGCTCTATATTAAAATTTCAGATAAATAGCAAAATAACATTGGCAAGAATAAATTTGTTGCTGCTAATATCTATTTAATTGTTTAATTATTTTGAATGAAAAAAGCTGCAAGTTGTTTTCTGAATTGTTTTTATAAAATATTCATTACGATCAAAACAATACGTGCAGAGACTTAAGGATCATAATTTATCATTAATGAACTTTTTAGTTACTTTCTTTTCCTTTTTGACACTTACAAGTAAAAGTTGCTACCAGAAAAGATAGCATTTCACGGATTTAAGTATAAAAAACATTCTTAATAATGGAAAGTAGCTTTTTTATTATAATTATCACAAAAATTTCTTGCAATAAGACTTAAATCCAACGAAGAGTAATGTTTGCCACTTTTTAAAATAATTTCTAATACTTCATTAGATAAAACTGAATGAAAAATATCTTTGTTTGACAATTCGCGTAATCCCTCCCTGAATGCACATACGTACATGTGCCCAAAGGGAATAAAAAGG